CATAAATGATTTGGCGCCACAGTCATGTCATCGCCGGTGTGGAAATGCTATGATGTTTCGAGAAACAATGAAAAATTCGCTATTTGTCATGTATGTTTTGCATGATGATATGATGAATGGATGGTTCATTTTTAACAGCAGATTCAGTGACGTTAGAGCTGATCTGCGCCTCACTGCACACGTCTGCGGAGCTGATCGCGGCCGCTCTAGTCAATGCTTGTGCTTATACCAGCCAGCCGCGGCACGTTTTTGAAGCGGCTCTAAAATGCTTGGCTAAAAATAGCCTTTTGTGAGTTGTAACAGCATGGAGGATGCACACGTCTGCGGCGCGTTACGGCTCCACAGGAACCGGAGTTGATCGCGGCCACTCTAGTCAATGCTTGTGCTTATACCAGCCAGCCGCGGCACATTTCTGAAGAGGCTCTCCACGCTGCTTGGCTAAAAATAGCCTTTTGTGAGTTGTCACAGCGTGGAGGACCGAACAAAACCTCGTCGGAGCCGTAAGGGATAACGGTAACATAATAGCTACGCTGATCGTGGGCTGCTTTTAAATTAATGTACTAAATTTGTACATTCATACTTGTACTCAATTTATAAAACAAAATATGTTCTTTGGCCATATTAGCCTACTCAATAGCATTAACACGGGCTTTACTCCTTTCAAACTTTATCTGGAACACACACACACACAAATGAAATCGTCTTCCTGATGAAAAAATGTATTTAAAAAAATGTAGTTAATGTTTGCATCATTTATGATTTATTTTATCCACCCGCAAATAATCAGAATGCATTTTTTATTACCCGACCCGCAGATTATCCGCAGCGCCCGTGGATATAGGAAAAGCAAAATATGTTTGCAGCATTTTCATTCTCTGCCAGCAGGAGGTGCTTTCAAGCGGGAGAAACAGATGTTTCCCCAGTAACAGCTGTACACAAAGCAGCGTTGAACTCACACACACTGCTTTACCAGGCATATAACATGCAAGATGAAATGAAAATGACATAGAACATTTTCTAAAGATAGTCTTCCTTCAGAAATACAGTGATATAAAAACACCCGCGCCTCGTTTTGATTTTTAAACGTGCAGT